TCTCTGGCCTTTGATTGGGTCTTTGAATTTTGGGGGTTTCATTTTTTAATTTACATATCCTAGGTAGAAGTTCTAGATAATTTTGTCTGAGCAAGAGGTAGATAAAATTTTTTCCAAATTTATTGGTTTTCTTTTCATTCTGTGATTTTTTTTGACATGTAAAAACTTCAAAAAGATGAGATCCCAGTTATTGATCTTCTATTTTTTGTTGTTGTTGAACACTTGGGTCAAGTCATAACCAGTTTTATTGCAAAAGGACCTTATACACATTTATCAATTCCAATACCTTAATAGCTACTCAACAAGTCATTAACATACAGAAACACGCATCATGAAAAGCAAGAAGTATCCCCCATCCCTCCTGTATTAGCACCTTGTCACTCCTGAGCAGCAGTGCTCACATCACTTGAGGTCTGTGCAGTCACACTTTGCATTCATCCTGAGTGAAAGATGGAATGACTTAAGTACAAATGTAACATATTATAAACAGTTTCTTACAAAAAAAAAAAATCACAAATTAAACCAAAGTATTTTACAGAATGTACTACAAAATGCCGTAAAAATTGCCTACACTTAAGGTCTCTCCCTGTATCTGGCGGGCCAGTTGGATGTCTTTGGGCACAATGGTGACTCAGTGTGGATGGCACACAGATTAGTATCTTCAAATCGGGTGTGCTTCACTAGCCTCCTGAAGGGTACCAATGGCTGCACTCTGAAACCTCAAGTCGGTTTTGAAATCCTGGGCAGTCTCACCAACCTCTGGGAAGGCAGGTTCCAAATGAGAAGCTTGGTCGATTTCTGGTGACAGCGAATCCAAGCGCCCCTGTACCAATCCTGTAGTGATGAGGTTTCTTCACCCCACCAGTAGAGGGGGTGCTTTTCCTGGCAGCTTTAGTAACCAGCTGTTTTGGGGGACTCTTTCCCACCAGTGGACTTTTGAGCAGTCTGCTTGGTTCGGGCCATTTTCTTTTACCCAATGCAGAAGTCTTAGGTTGCTTTTCCAACCGCCACACTGGTGTTCAGGCAACAGTCAAAGTTGATGACAACAAAAATGGCAACTTCTCAACAAACGACCAAACCACTCTGCCTCTTCTATTTTTCTTTGAAGAAAAAGATCATTTTTTTCTCCAAATGGATTTTTCCCTATAAGTTATTATAAAGATCCTCCTCGCTGCCACTCAAGAATCAAAAGCTTTGAGCCCTGTTAAATAGGCATTCCCTTCATTACTCCTGAAACAGGCCCATGGTCATCATATTACCTTATTAAGAACATCCTACTTTACTGCAAAAAGACAAATTATTCTGATTTTCCAAGATTAAGATTTTGGGGAGGAAAAAATATATAATTAATTGGTGGTTGTTTTTGTAAGAAAAGTGCTTCCTGCTTTTGAGTCCTCAAAAGTTTGTGTTGATGTAACACCATCACTCTACAGGTCCCATCCCAGGTCATTCCCTTTTTAATATAGGAAATAGTAGGTCAGAGACTCTTGGCATCTCAGAGCTGATGTCTGTAACCATCTACCATTAAATAAACCCACTAGAGCTTGGGGTGTAGCTCAGTGACAGAGCACTTGCCCAGAACACATGAGGCTCTGGGTTCAATGCCAGTACTGTCAAAAACAGTAAAATATACTAATTGGAAAATGTCTTAACACTCTGTCCATTCAACCCCTTCCCTGTGAGAGAATCTTTCCTGTGGCCTCTGTGACAGACTACTTGTTGCATGAGCGAAGGATGCTGATTCACAGGTAGCCTGTTCCACCATGAGGTTATGGAAACTGTTAAGGTAGGTAGCTTCTTCCATGGAGGAAAATTTCTCTTCCACATACTAGTCCTAGTTTGGCACTCCTGAACATAACAGGAAGTCTGCTTCCTCCTCTTTATGTTATAAAAAAACTACATCCAAAGAACTACATTCTCCAATGTTCTGAGTAACTTGAACCACCAGTTTGTTCAATAAAGCCTTTAACTTCATGGAACATGATGTGTAACACTTGGTTTATGAAAGCTCTCCTTTGAATTTGTGGCTTAGAACAAGCATAGTATTTTTTTTTCTTTTTCTTTTTTTTTTTTTTTTTT